TAAAAAATCCCTTTCAAAGATAATCCGTAAGGTTTTGCCGTGACAAAAATTTGGCGGTTATTACTTGACGGTGAAATTTACGATCCTAACCGCACGTATCTAGCCAATAATAAGGCGGTGTTTTGGGGTTCAACTTCAAACCCAATGCTAACTATACAACACAATATTTGTAGAAGGGGAAAATATCCTTAAATAATAATAACAATAAGAAAAAAAAAAAAAACAATAAAAAAAAAATAAATGAAATCTTTTGAATTTTTGGAATTTTATTATATGAAATTGCTTTTTTTAAAAAGATTTTCTTTATTTAGTCAAGTTTTCCTGGATTTTCTTCGTTTTTGTTACTCAGGATCTTCCCGATCAAGCGCAGATAATTTTAAGGCACATTTAAGTTGAAGCAGCATTAGTCTATATATTATATTAATTAATATTAATATGTATATTTAAATGAAATTAGTACTGATAGTAAAACCTTAACTTATTTATAGAACGCTATGTGTTAGGGGCAATGAGTTTCTGAATTTGTATTGTATTTAAAGTTTTGTAGCCACAAATCGAGGCACTTTTGCTTTCACTCCTTCAGCATTTCGCGAAAAGGTGAGATAAGATGACAAATTAAAAAAAAATCCTCACAATTTACAATTTTTTCCCGCAGCTGGCTCTTATCAATTTCAGCCCTGTCCCTGATTATAGTTGCTTATATATTTTAAAAATTTATATAAATATATTTGTGCTTTTTACCTTTAAACGTATCCAGGAAGTTATTTAAAGTCATTGCTTGCCAGAATAGGGAGTAAGTAATGTTAATGATGTTATGACATCTCACTGTAGCTCCTAAAAGAAATGTTGATAATGTGCAATTGTCTAACTGAAACCGTTAAGCTCAATTTCCTTGTTAAGGTCTTAATTTTATGCAGCCGATCAGGGCAAAAAGTTGCTTCTATTTCCATATTATCATATACTTTTATGGACTTTTAATTGGCAATTTCCTAAGCTGGTTGGCAACCTTGACGCTATAACTCACCCCGAACTTTTGTCTATTAAACGGCGCCGTTAAAACGAAAATATAGTCATAATTTATGGCAGTTAAGCAGCTAACAAACTATCCTGCAGATACTCCCCTACCTTCAGTTACTCCAGGAGCTTTGCATGTTCATCCCCCATCAGCGAGAGGGGAAGGTGATTCGGTGGTCGGGGTGGCAGGTGAAAGAACTGCAGCTGTCGTCGTCGCATCCAGCACAAAACGCGGAAGCGAGTGAAAAGCAATTATCAGGTGTCAAAATTTATATTAGGGAGTCCCAAGCTCTAAAAAGGATACCAACAAGGAAGCAAGTAAAAGAAACAAAAAAAAACAAACTTGAAAATAACTTGCGAGTCCTGCGAGCCCTGCTAGTCCTGGTAGACAGACAGAAAAACACTACGAAAAGATGTTAGTTCAAAATTCCTTTAAAATAGTAAATTTGTATATTGATTGTGTGATTATTTTTATGCAGAAAGCAGATAGTCGCCAGTATAGGCTATCGATCCAGGTATTGGTACAAAATTATTTGAAATAACCTTATAATTTATCGTTGGGCAGTTTAATTTTTGTTAGTTTAGAGACTGATATTTAAAAATCAAGCATCAATTAGTTGATGAAAGACAGCGTAAAGCTTTTTCTTTGTAAATATTTCAAATAAGATTCGTTACACACAGAAAATTGTTACGTTTAGAAATTGAAATTCTCAAATTGAATATCTACTCTATGTATTTTTGAATAATGATTTTGCCTTAGAACTAACATTGTGGATCTTCCTTCTTGTTTTAAGAAAACAAATTTACTTAAATTGAGGATATGTGTACTTTAATTTCGAGCTTGAGGAAAGACTTTTTAAAGTGAGATGTAATTTTTTTGGGTACAAAAATTCTTAGACAGGTATATATTAAGTTTTTTTTTTAGTTTATAAATAATAAATAAATAACAATAAATGTTGTTATATTGTCTATACTGGAGTCGATATTTTAAACCCCTAAATCATTTCAAATATTTATTTAAAGTGTATTTCTAACCCTTTCAGTAAAAATGATTTGTGGCTCCAGTGCATTGGCACGCAATGAAAAGTTTCTCGTGAAGAAAAGGAAGGGGATAGATAGAGCTCAGGACTTCGTCCGGACGCTTTATGAAAACCTTTTTATACTGCATAAAACCTGTTATTGGCATGGAAAGCCTTCGCCCTCCGCCATTATTTATTGGGCATGTGCGTGTGTTGTGCGAAACTATATGCCTGTTGTACCATATAGTCATGGCGGGAAGTGAGAGGTTTGATTAGCTCCCGAAAGGCAACTGATATACTATATATGGGTAACTTAGAGGTGTAGGGGTGGCCAGTTCAAATCAGTACCTGACACAATATGGCACGGTTATTGAAAACCGACTTTGAGAGTGTGCGTATGTTGGATCTTTTTGAGAGTGGTTGATTTTCCGGTCTAGCTCGTTGCACTTGCCACACTAAATGGAAATCTCGCAAGAAAAGTTTTCCCTAGCAGTAAAGTTTAATTAAATGATTAATCTTGAGTAACAAGTTTGTAGCACACTTGAATTGATTTCATTTGATTTAATTTAATATTTATTTATAACCTTTTCCTTGGATTACAGTGCATCGACAATCTTCATTTCAATCAGAAATAAAAGTACATTTACGTGAGTTGGACTACCTGTTTTTGTAGCTGCAAACAACACGGTTTACGAAGCAGATGTGTGTAACAAGTTGGAAAATTAAATTTCTGAAGCACCCCTGCTATTTGTAAATTAGTTCTGAACAGATGATTTTTAGTTGCTCTACTAAGATTAACTTATAATGCTAAGAACAATAAAAAAAGAAAAGAAGCAAACTTCGGCAAGCCGAAGCTTATATACCCTTGCAGCTATTGCGAAAATTAAATATTCTTTAAAACGTCAAAAGTCCGATTTTTATGCGCATATGCTTAGAGATGGACATGGCTAGATCGACTCTCCTAGTGATGCTGATCACGAATATATATACTTTATGGGTGGGTAATGTTCCTTTCACAGCGTTGCAAACTTCTGACCGAAACTATAATATCATCTGCAAGGGTATAATAATGTATAATTTGGAATTTAAAATACCTTTAGACGCATATTTTGGTAAAAATTATTAGAACAATCAATTTTGTACAACCGGTCTCCCAAGCTCCCATGTTCTAATCTTTAATTATACTTCAAGCCCGATATGAGATTTAAAACTTTGAATATTGATTGACCCATTCTAGACCAAAAGTTCTTATTTTAAGGTTCCATTTTTAAGAACTAAACCACTTAGAGCACAAATGTGATGCTTTAAAGCTAAGATGACTCCCGTCCACAGTGTTCATTTCTTTATATGCCGATATGTCTATCGATTTTGAAACTATTTAAAAAAGTTTTATAAAATTTCTCAAGGTGATGATTCTCAAGACGAACAGCTTGTTAGCTTTTTAAAGATCAGTTTTTAAATAGAAGCCACAAAATAAATGTTGATTTTTACTCTTTCACACATATTTTAACTACTGTGTTTGTTTTAAAATAAACGTGACGGAATTGGAGGTCCGTCAGGGATCGAAAGAAACCGTGACAAATCATTCATAGTTTGGGGACAATGGTACTGGGCAAAAACACTAACTTAAACCGACCGAACACTTAAGTTTGCTTGTTTCCGAAACTCCTTACATTAAACAAAAACATTCCAATTGCGAACATTTTGGATTCTTGCATTTATTTTAATACAGAACATTGAATCAAAAACTTATTCGCATTCTATTTTTTAAATAAAAATATTATTTTAATTGTTTTTAACATTTGTTTATATTTTATTGTATACAAAACAGAATACTGAATTTCTTGTCTTAAAAATGTATGTTCTTTTTTCTTGAACACAAAACAAATTCAAGAAGACTTGATTAAAGGCTAAACTCTCAATTGAGATTAAAATTCTTAAATTCATTACCTATTTTACCTAACTTAAGAATACCAGGTTCCAGAAATCAAAAGACCATAGCAAGTACACTGACACAAAAATGGAATAGTAAAAATTTAATCCAAAAATTAATTTTTCATATATTAAATAAATATAAAATTATAATATTAATTATAATGCATTGTAAATTGCATGACTTTTTATTAAAATATTTAAATTCGGTTCGTTGTCGACCATCAAAAAGTCAAGACTGAAAAGAAATGTGCCCACATTTTTATAAGAATTGATTACTTGACAGTGGATCGTTTAGATATTGTTTCATTTGATGGTACTGAAAAATTATTAGGGCCAGTTCGTCCTGCCCTGCCCCTCCCACGTTAAAAAATCGTCATAGTTCTTAGAATAAATTGAAATCTAAATGGTTTAACATCTTTACTGCTAATTCCCTCATTCCACAATCGATTGCCACGACCAATGAAAATTCATTTTTCCGCCGCACGCACTTGCTTACTATCAACCCCTCCCCGTGCCCCTCCTCTTTCCGATGGAGATAACTTTTCACTACGTTATAGAATTCATTCATAAAAGTTTTCACGCGCCCAAAAGTATGCGGAGAGAATTTCCCAGGTCTTCAATCCGGTTCAATCGGCTTTCAACCGAGTTGAGAGCGCCTCAGCCGTGGTGAGTTTCCCGAGCACACCCCCCATTGGGCAGCACACACACACACCACACACACACACACACACACAGCGCCAGTTAGAAAAAAAGAAGCACAACGAACTGAAAAGCGCCCGCCAACAAAAAGCAAAATAAAATGTGGCCCGGCAACAACAAAAATCACAGTTGTCTGATTCGCTCGCGACGCCGCTGCCCACCCTCCCGTCGCCCACTGAAAGGGGCCACCCTCCCCCACATACGCCCACCCCGCCCCCAAAGCAACGACGATTCGCCCAAGGAGCATCTTCGGCACCGCTCGGCAGTCGCCTCGCTCGGCTATGGTCGCCATCGACTTCGCAGGCTTCGGCGGCTTCAGTGCTTCGACGTCGTTCGGCACGTGCGGTTGACTCCTGTGATCCTGCCGGAAAATCGAAACGGAAAGCTTAACGCAACTAATCCAGAACGGAATCGCGAGTGTTTTGCCGCCAAGTGTTGCTTGCATTCGTGTTGCAAGTGAATTGAAATGATGCTAAAAGGCCACGGGTGACTTGCACTGGTCGAATTTCTCTATAAAAGTGGTTATTGTTGGCCCAATTGTGAAACAGTTATATAGTGAGTTTCACTAAAACAGGAGATAAACTAACTAACTAAATAATAAAACTGAAACACACTCTTAGTTAACATTTATAACTGGACATATATTTGCTACTACTACGCCATTACAACGGTGTTCAACAACGGAATGATAAACATTTTGGAGCAAATGAAAGTTGCAAAAACTTTCTTGAATCGCTTTTCAATCGTTCGCTTTGATTTCGGCCACTGAAAATTCAATAGTAATTTGGCTGATTTCGCGGATACATCAACAACAAGTAGAACTCGCTCGCGTGCCAAGTCGCGCGCCTTTTTAGCCGCTTGTTGGCAATTTAGCCGCGACTTTGGCGACATTTGCCGTCAGCTGCGTGTTCACTGTAATTATATTTAAAATAAAAACAAAAGTCGGGTTATTTATGAAGCAACAACAGTCGAGCCACCCTCGGCGGTCAATGGTCGTCACATGATTTGCTTTTCCAGCTGCAATGCGTGCTGCTGATGTGTATCCTGAAATTTGCCTACAAATGTGTCTGGGCCGGCACTCGACGCTGTTTATTGCTAGTGCCAGTGTCCACCAGGAGTGCTCGGTTTTAGGCCGCCGACAATTGCATATTTTATGTATCACGGCTGCCGACTGTAATTTAAAGTTCATTGATATCCATAAAGCGCAGGGCCCATGTAAATCCGCTGTCTGTTGCCCGTTTGTTGCCCGTTTGTTGCCCATTTGTTGCAAATATGTTGCAGGGCTTTTGGGGTGCTCCGGATATAATACATGCCACACCCACACCCACACCCACACCCACACCCCCTGTTTCCCGGGGGACGAGTGGCGCCTGTTTTCGATTTATGGCATTTCTCTATCATTTGCATTTTACATATAATTTCTGATCAGTTGTTATCTGCTTGATTGTGATTTCAGCTGGTCCTAAACCGAATGTGCAGTCCATAGTCGGGGCACGTGAGGCCTGAAAACTTATTATGGAAATTAAAACATGTTGACTCAAGTTTGGGAACCCTGTCATGCTGCAGTACGCTCCTGGGGTTAAGTAATCCGTAATCCGCTCGAACACAAAAACACGCCCACACTATCAATTGCAAATTGCCCGGCGTCTATTTCTGTGGGGCATACAAAAAATTCCATTTGCCTTCTGAGCGATATCGAACTGGCTTGTGAACCCTCTCGTCAGTTTGACATAATGGCCAACATGTGGGGTCTGGTCCTACCAACCATTGTTGTTGCTGTTGTTAATAACAAGCGATAATAATCAACTTCCGTGCTGGAAAGTGAGCGGGGAAGAAAATTCTGAAAATCCGAGTGGAACTTTGCTTGAAGTCAACGTCAGCTGAGCAGTATGAGTTATGCAAATTTTATGCAGGGTCCGCCAACAGGGCTTCCTCTTTTCTAGGCTGGATTGAAAAATAAAAAGCAAGAGGGCAAATAATTTTGAGAAATGCCGAAGGAACAACGTGATAAAGGGCGAAATTTATCACGTGTTAATTGATGTTTGCGCTGCAAATTTAATTTTTGCTCATTGTGTAGAATTAAAAGTTAAAATGTGTATCACTTCTTCATCGGCCTACTTTTTTCTCACAAAAAGAATCCCCTCTGCCACACGAAACGAGTAGCAGAGGTAGTTTACGCTGCTGAGATTATGCTATAATTCAGCACCTGATTACCTACATTGGAGGTTGAGAAAAAAAGGGACTGTGCATGTCCGAAACCATAAAAATAATATATGACTTAGACGACACAAAGTAGCCATGAGTAGCTTTTATTATTTTTCATAAATATTTGGGTTCTACTGCTTAAAAACCATTGAGTTAAGAACGCTTTGATTGTGCGAGGATAGTTGAGATCAAGAACAACTTAGTAAAATAAAATTGAACAAGAAAGAAAGCAAACTTCGGCAAGCCGAAGTTCATATACCCTTGCAGCTATCGCAAGAATTAAATATTTTTGAAAACATTAAAATTATGATTTACTTGCGTATATGTTTAAAAACATTGAAGCTATGACGATTTGCAGCTTAATTATTTGATTGTTATTTTATATATTTTTATTATTTGTATGGGAGCTATATGATATAGTCGTCCGATTTTGATGAAATTTAAACCATAATTCTTAAATATTTAACCATTGCTATATGTCGAAGAACTAAAAAAAAAATTAAAAAACAGCAAAGTTATAATTTTTTTTCAATTATTTTTTCGATTGTTCCTATGGGAGCTATATGCTATAGTCGTCCGATTTTGATGAAATTTTAACCATAATTCTGAAATATTTAACCATTGCTTTATGTCGAAGAACAAAACAAAAAATTGAAAAACAGCAAAGTTATAATTTTTTTTTCAATTATTTTTCCGATTGTTCCTATGGGAGCTATATGCTATAGTCGTCCGATTTTGATGAAATTTAAACCATAATTCTGAAATATTTAACCATTGCTATATGTCGAAGAACTAAACAAAATATTAAAAAACAGCAAAGTTATAATTTTTTTTCAATTATTTTTCCGATTGTTCCTATGGGAGCTATATGCTATAGTCGTCCGATCCGGCTCGTTCCGACTTATATACTACCTGCAATAGAAAGACAACTTTTGGGAAAGTTTCATGCAGATAGCTTTAAAACTGAGAGACTAGTTTGCATATAAACGGACGGACAGACGGACAGACGGACGGACAGACGGACGGACAGACGGACGGACAGACGGACGGACAGACGGACATGGCTAGATCGACTCTACTAGTGATGCTGATCAAGAATATATATACTTTATAGGGTCGGAAACGTCTCCTTCACTGCGTTGCAAACTTCTGACTGAAATTATAATACCCTCTGCAAGGGTATAAAAACCAGTTTATCGCCAAGAATAAATTCGAAAAAAATAGGTTTGCTGTCATTGTTTTACATAGGTATGGTTAAAAAAACTAAGAAAAAGAGATAAATAGTAATTAAGTAAAAAATAATAAATACAACGGATATAATATTTCTAAATAACAAAAATTTATACAAAAAAATATCGTTATTAATATATAAAAATGTTTAAAATTTGGCCCATTTTCTGCTTTATGTCTTGTGCTGCAATAAAGTAACAACTACTCACCCAAAAATTAAAATAAAATAAAATATTCTCAAGTGGTTTATGGAAAATTTTTTTTTGCAGTTTATAAAATGCTTGTGATTTTTTTCAAACCCGACACTAAAGTTTAAAAATGTGAACTTTTATTTAGTTTTAGAGGTAAAGCTGACAAGCAGACAAATTAAGCTAGTATGAGGATTACAAATTGTTAGCTTAGCATTGTTGAGAAATATCAATGATCATCAAATATGGATCTTGCTTGTCGATTGTCATCCACACACTGAAAATGCCCAAAGAAAACCGCTTAAACTGACTATGCAAAGAGGGACTTTCGACACATTCACTTCGATATGGCTTCGGATTGTGGTCAGGCTATGGGTCTGAAGCAGAAGCCATCACCTGTCCCCGACTCCAGCTCCTGACGTGGCCCGCATGCTCTAAATTATTAATAATATTGCCATGCCCATTTGCTAGACATTTTTAGTGCCTACCGCCAGTCTTGTCCCACCATCACCATCACCCCCACTCCCACCCCCTCCCTTAGCCATTTGCAGTGCTGTCGCTTGCCTGTTGTCTTTTGTAGTCTACTTTTCTGGGCATGCAATGCGGATTTAAATGTGTGTGTTATGTGTATGACAAAAGACACATACCACACATGCCGGCAACTTTGCTTTCAATTCCGCTAAATTATGAAAAAATCAATATGGACTCAACGGGAGGGGAGAAGGAATTTTAATGAAATGTCAGTTTAAAATGGTTCCTGTCAGTTTGCGGGCGCCAGAAAGTAGGCTTTTATTTTTTCGAACCAAAAATCGTTTGCATGTTGAGTCTCATGGCCGAGTCAGCTGGAAAGTTAGCCAAGGTTCCCCAATCATAAGGGTGGATTTTTGAATATACCTGTGTTGGACAACATATTTCCTTAATGTTGGACCGGTATTAATTTTTAAAGCAAAAAAAACAATGTTTTGGTCTCGCCCCTTTTTTACTTTTGCATGGATTTTCAGAACTAATTCTTAAGTTTGATTAAGACCGGACGACTTTATCATACAGTTTTAATACAAAAACAAAAATGAGAACAATATTTTAAATTTTCCTATTTATTTATATTTATTATACCCTTGCAGAGGGTATTATAATTTCAGTCAGAAGTTTGCAACGAATTGAAGGAGGCATTTCCGACTGTATAACGTATATATATTTTTGATCAGCATCACTAGAGGAGTCGGTCGGTCTGTCCGTCCGCTTTTCCGCCAGTCCGTTTCTAACCAAAATAGTCTCTTAGATTTAAAGAAAAAAGTTGTCTTTCTATTGCAGGTAGTATATAAGTCGGAACGAGCTGGATTCGACGGCTATAACAAATAGCTCCCGTAGGAACAATTGACAAAATTAGAATAAATTTTGCTTTGCTGGTATTCTATTTTTTGTATAGCTCTTCGACATTTAGCGATGGCTTATTATTTTGGAGTTACGGTTAAACTTTGATAAAAATCCATAGGAACAATCGAAATATTAAAAAAAAAAATTCTCCAATTTGTAATTATTTTTTAAATTTTTTTTATATATATGAATGGATTAATAATTCGAATTACGCATTTATTTTTATAAAAATCGGAAATCGATATCATATAGCTGCCATAGGAACGATTGAATAATTAAAGTGTAAATCATCTTAGCTTCAATGGTTTAGAAATGGTTACTCATAATTTGCAATAGCTGCAAGGGTATATAAACTTCGTCTCGCCGAATCTTGCTTCTTTTCTTGTTTTGGATGATTTCTTTTAAGGTTTTATATTTGAGAGTCACTATAATTCGAAATTTAGACTCTTTAAAGAATATTTCATTTTTGCAAAAGCTGCAAGGGTATATAAACTTTGTCTTGCCAAAGCTAGCTTCTTTTCTTGTTTTGTATATTATTGCAAACAAATTTGCTTGAAATTTCATGCCAAACTGATAAAAATGTCCGTGTCCGTCTGTCCTTCTTTGTTGTCTTTTCTCTGTTTTTAATTCTTGTTAAATAAATATATTAATGGAGTTATATTTCAGGCTTCCGGTTTTAATTTTATTAAAATCAAACGACTGCATCATAGCTCCCATTAAAACAAACAAAATATGAGAAAAATAAATGAAACAAAATTAAAATTTCGATGTTTGATGAGATAAAGTAAAGGTTTAATATAACACAATTACGGATACCATAAAGCTGCGATAGGATCAATCAAATAATGCAGCGAAAAATCATTATAGCTTGCTGTTTTAAAAGACAGCCGCACAAAAATCGAAATAAAGTTGATTAAAGGAATATTTAATTTTTGCAAAAGCTGCAAGGGTATATAAACTTCGGCTCCATTCTTGTTTATTTATAAGCCTATTCTTAGAGCTCCCTTAAGTATTAACATTAATGTTTATATATTTTTTAAACGCATTAAAAAACGCATTATCTATCAGATGACCAAAAGCATCCAGTTTGGACAAATAGACTCTGCTGATGGTGTTTTTGAATATAACACAACGATTCCAATTAGTTTTGAGTCGGTATGAGTATTGTGAGTGTTACAGACCAATCCATGAATACTGAATTGGGTTTTTTAACTGCTTAAATGTTTTGGGGCAAGCACTTAACACCGACATTAATTAGGATTAGTGGCAGCAAAGGCGAAAGTTTGATTACAACTGCATTGCCCAAAAGTCCCACATAAGTTGTGTCGTCCATGTCACTCGGGCAGGTCTTAAAAAAGCGAAGGCGAACTTGTCTTAGCTTCGGCATGAGGCACAACTATTTCACAACTATCAGAGGTCCGTCAGGATGCATGGTTGATGCTTTATTTACGAGTTCACTGCGATGCGGCTGCCAACGAAACATTTCATTTCCGTTCCGTAAACAGTTTTGCCCTCCGGACACGTTTAAAAGCCGTGAAACAAACCGAAGCGAGCCAAAATGAAATGAGCAGAGAGGAAGAGCATGCAACACCTTTTCAAGGAGATAGTTGCAGGTTGGTAGTTAATTTCTGGCAGCTGTTCGCCTGCACAATTTACACAGCCAGAACACGCAAAATAAGCCAAGAGCGAGGGCCATACCTGCAAAAAGAAATATGTTTGGCCCGCCTCGACGGCACAGGATACGTCCGGAGAGGAAGGCCGTTGGCCCTCAGATCCTTCGGGTCCGTTACCTCCACCGCCACCGGCTCTGCTCTGCTTTAAACTTGAAACTTTTTAATTTGGCGTATTTTCGACCGGCATCGCGATTATTGTTTGCCATTGTTTCGTAGTTTTGATTCTGTTTTCAAGTACTTTTTGTTGAACTTTGCCCTGTTGCCTGTTTACACGCATAAATAGCAACAACAATGGCCAGAAGTTGATGCCATTAGAGGCGCGCTAATGACTGCCAATTACGAGGCGCGCGGAAATTGCCCACTCAGCCCTCAACCCTCGAGCGGTTTCAGGTGCGGGGGATTATCTGGAAGTGCAAGTTTGCCAATCTTGTTTGTCTTTTTACACTCTATTTGAACGGCCTTAGTTTTTAGCTGAGTTTTTATACCCGTTACTCGTAGCGTAAAAGGGTATGTTGTAGTCGTTGAAAAGTACGTAACAAATAGAAAGAAGCGCTTCCGAGCGTAAAAAGTATATGTATTCTTGGTCTGGAGCACAAGACGAGTGGATTTCGAGATGTTATTCGGCCAATATCTATCGATAGTGTTGGCTATCGATGGTGTTCATTATCGATACTATCGATAGTATCAAAAATTGTTCAGCATCAGAAAAAAAGAACGAAATATCAATAAAAACAATTCCAAATTCATCTTTAAAAATGTAATTGTCATATATACCGCAGTATACTCCAAATATTCTTAATATCTTAAAATATACCACAATACAAATTTATTTTAATAGAGCGATGACATCGATAGTGCAATTTATTGTTTTACCAACCCAACTGTCGACACAAAAAAATGTTCCCAATCAAACCATTCTTTTTGAAAATATTGGCAATTATAAATTATAAAAGTTCATATAATTCAGAGCGCGCACCTTAAATACAAAAAAAAAAACATTTTAAAAACTTATATGGCAAGTGTTAATTTGGCTTATGCCATCTTTTTAATGTATATTTTATTAATAGTTTTACAAGTGATTATCTGACAAGACAACTCGATGGTTTCCAGTCATTAACAAACTTAATCAAACTAAATATATACAAAATGAAAACAAACTTTACTCAGTTCCGTGCCCAAAACTGTGCGATAAATGTTACACTGCTCTTAATCCTGATGAGTCAACAATGCAATCCTCAGAGAGTGGAGGTGCCAGCGGAAGTCATCGGTAAGTTAATTTCGTGAAGATGGAATACAAACAATTTGTAGAATAAAGCCTTTAAGAGTAGCCGACGTGGCAATAACTGGAAACTAGTTTAGTATATATTAAATATTTTTTACTTTCTTTAATCCAAGTAAAATTTTTGTATTTCATTTTCAAACAACCTCTTTAAGCTTGCCATGATTTTTTGGGGCATATAATGCCCCTTTCTACACATTTCTGTTATTTATACAATTTATTTTGTAAGACATAAAAAAACCAAAGGAGTATTTTCGTTTCACTGTTTACATAACTTTAAGATTGTGGAACATTTGTTTGGTATATTTGCTAGAGTCCTGCATGATGGAATTTATAGTGCCTTTTTAATCATTCACTCTTAAAGATACAAAATTTAAAAATAGACATGAAAGCAGTAAATTACACTTACAAAAAGTTTTGCGTGTCAGGTGGATTAAAATTACTAAACAAGTATAGTATGGCTCTCTAGAAAATTTGGTACTAAATCTCGGGGTAATACTTCAATGAAATAATTATATTGCATCACATTTTTGCAAAAGTAAAACAAGCTAAAGATTTTTCAAAATATTTCCGGGTATGCAGGCTTATTATAATAATAATGTAAGATATAAAAAAATAAAATTAAAAATAATCCTTTTTTTTTTAAACGATATAACGAAATTACAAATTATATTTATAGTAAATAATTATATATGCACTTTTCATTTTTTCCCTCTAAATCTAAATCTAATCTTCCGCTATTAAAAACAGGAAACTAAGGAAGTCGTTCGTGACTTGTGGATTGAGGCGTTATTTTGAGGTCAGCTATCCATAAATTTTGCCTGCAAACTCAATAAGTTCCGAGTCCAATAGTGACATTCATCCGCGTCAATATGAAACACATGGAAACAGACGGACGGACAGACGGACATGGTTAGATCCACTCTCCTAGTGATGCTGATCAAGAATTTTGAAACTTTATAGGGTAGTAAACGACCTACTGTTGTACTCTTAACTAGTTGATATTCGAATTATATTTTAACTATACAGATTCTTTTGAGTGCATAACTAATTCGTGTGATTGGGCTTGGCAGTAAAGAAATGAGGAGGGATGTAGAATTTGATGTTCAGTCGTAGTTTAGACCAATCTTTATTATTTTATAAACATAAATATAGTAAACTCACAATTTCTTCAACTTCAATTCTAAGGAGTGAATTTTTTTGTGAATATTTAATTTGTACAGTGAAGTACAGTGAGTGAATATTTAATAAGTTTTAATAAGTTTGTCTAGAAAAGAAATTATAGGCAGTATTAAGTATAAGCTTAAGTTAAATTCTAAACAATATAGCGTCTATACTTTTTAGGTTAATTTCCATACCGAAGAGACTAAAACTGTACTCAAAGTGCTTATTATTAAATCAAATAAGTTTTATTTTGATACTTTCGTATTTTTTTATACCCAATATTTGAAATTCATGCAAAAGTAGTCTAGTTTCTATGACAATTTTTTTTGGAGTATCTAACAGCTTGCAAGATTCTTCAGAATACTCATTATTTAAGCTATCACATTTACCATAATATTCCAATTATTTTCCAATCAAGCATGACTGCGCTCACAACACAAATATCCCTTGACTTTATTCCAGTTGATCCCAAATTTAGTTCTCCAATTGTGAATATGACAGCGCCCGTGGGACGTGACGCCTTCCTAACGTGCGTCGTTCAGGATCTGGGTCCTTACAAGGTGAGTACGGGGCAGCCAATCCGTTAATAACTGTACTTAAATTGGCAAATCATCCGGGAAGCTGTTTCGGCTGTTTCGGTTGTTTCGGCTGTCCGCATCCTCTTCGCTTCGAGCTGGGGGCTCAATTACACACTCAATAAGCAGCCACAAAACCGAAACCGGCCACATTAATATTCATTAACATTTCACCATCCCCGTACACGAGCGTGTAATCTCAAAGACCAAATCTCGACACCCAAAAGCGGGCAACAAGAGTTGAATGGCAGTCGGAATGAAAGTGAAAATAAAAACATAAATAGGGATATGCCGGGCTTACTGGATGACAAAAGCGAAAATCACATAAAAAGTAATTGAAATATGAATGAGGACGTGTTAAGCGAGTCCAGAACGGCGTTGTCCTCCCCCTCCTCCCGTTTCTCCCCCAGTGTCTGTGTTTTTATTTGTGTTTGCATTTGCATTCGTTTGTCCCGTTGGGGGAGCAAGTGTATCCGTGTCCACAGTTCTTCAGGCAGGTAGCAGCGAATGTAGATCTCCATTGAAGTGAAAAGCTTTGTGCTCTCACTTCGCCGGGGTTGGCAGCCGGGTCCTGGAACTGGTCCTGTTCCTGGTCCTGTTCCTCGTCCTTTGTATAATGATGACGAGGGGGAAGCCAGGAAGAGCCACCCTCAAACAGTGCCGTGCACAATTAAGCAATGTTCCGCTCAAAGATAATTGAGCAGGCACTTGGGTGTAATTACTTACTTTATGCTGACAGCGTTCTGGGACCCAAAACAAACCCGAATTCAATTTAACCGAAAATAATTCATTAGCCATCGATAGAAACGACTGGATATTAGCCAGTATTTAATTTATTTATGTGCATACTTAAGTATGCGTTTTCACAAATAAGTCACATAGCTTCACGTGTTGACTTGTCGTCTGAATGAAAATGGGCCCAGTCCCCCGGAAGCTCCGATGCCGCATTTTCCCATGCAAAGGTCGAAATAAAGGGTTGGACTCCTTCTGCTACCATATACAAAGTATTTCAGCTTTTTAGCTTACAAGCTGCGTGCTTTATCGCATAATAATTTACCTGGGTAATTGTACAATTACGGGCTTCTCCATAGGACTGTGTGGCAGTGTGTGCGTGTGAGTTAAAATTTCTTGAATAGTTCTGGGAATAGATTTTTTGTGTATAATTGAACGGCGTTGCATGCTAGTTATGTTTAATTTGGGAGTGTGATTCATGACTGACAAGCTGCTGGGTATTCTCGGAATTACATTTAGACCCATTTAGACATGGCCCAGCTTTCAAAGTTTTTGATTGAAAAAATCTAGCTAAAATTATAAAACACCACCAATGCCAAGGTTTTACCCATTAATATATATTCTTGACCAGGTTCAATAGCCGAGTCGATCTAGGCAATTTCGACTGTTTATCCATTTGTCCGTAGAACGTCGAGATCTCGGAAACTAAAAAAATTACTTTATTAGTTTATTTTTAAATCGAACTGTTATTTAAAATTTATTTATAATTATTGCTTTTACTATTAAGATAGTATAAAATGACATTTTCAGACATTGTGGCCTATTTATTGTAAAATGTTTAAGCTGAGTAGTGTGTTTTTTACTTTAAGTTTATTACAAAAAAAATATACAAAATTATTTGTAAAAATCAAATATTTTGGCCTGATTTACCTTATTTATTTAAAACTGCGCCTGCAGGTGAAAGATCTTATACAAGTAAGTATAAGTGAACATACTGCAAAACAACTTGCTTGTAAAAAGTTATAGAAAGATAATAACGATATCAAATCAAATAAATCGGGAACAAAGCTAAGTTCGGCCAGACCATATATGTAATAATGTAATGTAATGTATTCTTACGCTTGGCGTAACAAAAAACGAAAATGTCGAATTTCCATAACATTTTAATAAACTAAAGATAGCACTTTAGTCAAGTTCCAGAACTAGTAAATACCCGTTAGCCAACTAACAAATTTCAAAACAAAAATTCCCCTCAGAAAAAAAATCGGGGTTTAGGTGGCGCCATCTGTCGAACTAAATTGGCAAATCCTAAATCAAAGAACGAGCAGTACCCCTACCCCCCGCTAACAAAAGCCCTTCCAGTGTTACCAGTTTAGCGTGTTTCTGGGCAGATATACATACACAGCATATTTAAAATGAAAAAGCTAAATGTATCCTATTTTTAGGTCCATAGAATATGCCACAAAAATATTTATGTGTACAAACAAACGATAAATATTAAAGCAAGGAAATAAATAAAAGTAAATTGGATAATAATATTAATTTAACACAATTAATCACATTCAACATGTCGTAGCTCTTTTTATATTTTTTTGGTTAGTTAAAGAACATTTTTTTTTTGTTTTATTGTAAAGACAATGGTAAAATAATACACTTAAAAAAATTGGAGTGATTCTGCCTCCACTTTAAGAAATCCCAGTTTGTTTCTTTTTCCCAAATTTTTTTAAACAAATGCAGAAACAGTGTACAAAAAATAAATAAAAGAAAATCTGTAATAATATTATTATTATTATTATCGGGGTGTTCAGTGTACCGCGACCTGAAAGATCTATTGTACCCCCATTCAGAGCCTACAGCTCAGATATCAACCCACTTCCTCGAATTAAGTCGAGGAGTTTTAATGGGTTGATTCTTCCTAGGAGCTCAGGTACTCTTACACCTTGTTCCTAAGATTTTACATCTTATACTTGCTAACGCCGGACAGTCTGCGATGATGTGTTTAGAGGTTTCGTCCTCTATGTCGCAGAATCTGCAAGATCTACTGCTGGTTATTCCCATCTTACCTAGGTGACTTTTCAGTCTACAGTGCCCGGTTAGTAATCCGGTAACGATCCTAAGTGAATTTTTCCCTAGTTGAATAAGTTCCTTGAACCTCTTCTTGTTGTAATCTGTAATATAGAAGTATAGAATTTCGTCTTATTAAAATGCTATTGTTGTACACGTCTATGTCCCGTGAACTTTCGAAAAGATTATCACGACCTCATCTTTCTCCATCTTTATTGATTATTACCATTACACATCACAACCGTATTCATAATATGTAAAAAATTTTGTAGTGTGTTTTGAAAACTCAGGAAAAGCGGGCTAGAATAAGTTCAAATGCAATCTGGTAAACTGATTCTAAAAATTCTAAAAATACCCACTTGAAAACTTACATTAAAATTTAAAATTGATTTTATAAAATAAACAATTATGTCGATGTTAAGGAACTCCTCCTTAAGAGTCAATGATTTAAAATGTAGTTGCGATTGTCACCAAATTTGATAATGCCAATTTTAATGTACAACGTCATGACTTCCTTAATTTTTTATATATACTATTACTTAAAAGCATTATTGTTTTTGACAATCATTGCGTATAATGAAATATATCCAGATTTATTTCAATAACAAATTACTTCTTATTAATAAATGTAGTCTGAATTAACGAAAGATAACTTTCTATCTTATTTAATAGGTTTTTTCCTTCAGTTATGCAAAATGTTACCAGATTATAGTTAGTTCATCGCGTTCAAAATAACATGGCTTAAAACTATTATTGGCAGATTCCCAATATATTGGCTACAAAATGTAGGCTTCTCCCCAACACTTCACCCGTTAACTACGGTCAATTTATTATAATACACTTATATATATTATATGTGTCTTGACCTAAGACTGAATATTATCAATTTACCTTTCTCCCCTTTTATATATTTGCTTGTGGTCTTCTCGGCCTCTGTAATTGTTTTCTGGAAAACATTCTTTATTTTAGATTTACTTTTTCTAATTCTTATTTAATCCCCCACATTACAGGTTGCGTGGCTTCGAGTCGACACACAAACAATTCTAACCATTCAAAATCATGTTATAACAAAAAACCAACGCATTGGTATCGCGAACTCTGAGCACAAAACCTGGACAATGCGCATTAAGGACATTAAAGAGTCGGACAAAGGCTGGTATGCACATCAGGTTAAATTCCCGATTCGACTTAATAATTGGTAATGTTTCAGGTACATGTGCCAAATCAACACGGATCCGATGAAAAGCCAAATGGGTTACCTAGATGTTGTGGGTAAGTGGATGGTGGAATGCCGGAATGGCGGAATGGCGAGATGTTTTTTTTTAGCTTATTACGTTTCGGTTGTCAAACAATCATACGCCTCGTTGCCCGGACTTGCTCTCCCATTGTTCGATCCGTATTCCACAAAACAAAAATATTAAAAAATTAAGTGAAAAGAAGGAAATGAGCTGCCGGGCGCAAAAAGAGAATAACACTGCCACTGCCACGAATGTGGGAGTCCGTGGCTTATTAAATTCAACCGGCTAATACGCGAGGTCTCAGGGCGAAACTCTGCAAACGGAGCTCGCCGGGGGCGACTTTCCATTGCGAGTGCTTAAACATGTTTAACCGTCCACTGAACCGCAGAAATTGTTGATTTTGAATTAAAACGGCAACGCAACACAGAGAGGCATCGTAAGAAGTACCCCGGCCTATGAAGTATTCGCCGGGCACATTTGGACTGTCCATTTGTGGTCCGCTTGCCCGTGTCTGCCCCCATTCCCAATTCCATTCCCCCCCTTCGCTCCCCTGGTGCCCACAGTGCCTAAATACCTCTCGCTGGCAAATCTAAATCAAAGCGCTAAATATTTTAGCCACCATTGCAGTCGGCGCGGCATTCACCGGCAAACACGAAAAAGTATAATCAACTGTGTGTATTTGCACTGGATAATCAGCGGGCAGCGCACAGTGCCCCAAGATAAATTGGTTTAATTGAAAATTAGTAATTGTCTTTTGCAAAATAGTGAAAAATACACAATATACAAAAATACAAAATAGGAAGATATAATTAATGGAAAACATATTAATGGAAGCTTCTTCTCCGTTCTGAATTTAGAAATGACCCAAATAAACCAAATACTGCACCTAGAAATCCATTTAATCCATTTTTAGTTCGCCTCAAAGATGACATTTCATGGTATTTATGTTTATATCTGTTTATTACAAAAATTCAGAAGTCAGATTGTGTAAAAAACCATTTTAAATGAAAATATTTACAAGCACAACAACATTTCCAATAACTTAAAAGCTATAATAAATAATAACAAATATAATAAAGTCATTAGTCGTTATTAGATACTATTTAAGTCGTTTGACTTTATTATATTTATTATAGAATTTTTTAAAATATGAACTTATTTTCTTTTATTTTTGGTCATGTTTGCATAGGCAACCGAATTGTTAATGACATAAAATAAGTTCTAGTTACTTTATAGCTTGTTAACTTAAAGTTTTACTCCAAGATCATGAATTCATTTTTTGGATGAATGAATTCATTTTGAGCTAAATAAGACCACTGTAACCCACTCCAAATGGGTTTTGCGGGAAAACGAAGGAAGGTCGGAAAATCGGCCACGGGAAACGTTCGTGTTTGGAACAAGTGGAGGGTGGACTTTGAAAGGTGGTCGCTCCTGATGATTTTCGTGACCGAGTGCAGTTAAATAGTCGACGACAAACCGTAGCGGAAGCGGCACAGCTCTCACCTTTTTGGATTTCCAATGCGTCTCCACTTGTCTACTTTTTCAATTCATACATACATACATACATTTTTCAATTCATACAGGATGTGCACGATGACCCAACTTAAACTCTCATGCCTCAATGGCATTTGTGACATTTAAGCAAATGAAATATTTATTTTAAAATGTCCAAACATGTAGCTTTTCGCACAAAACTCACTGATGTTCTACAGATATTTGTGAATGATTGGATGTTCGGATTTGTTGTAATAACGGAAGCAAATGACACGCGAATGACAATCGAGAAGGAAAACTTAGTCCAGGCCATCACTACTATACCTTGCCCCGCCTTGCTTTTCAGCAGTTTAAAAGGGATTTCGAGATACGAGACACACCACCAATCCCAGCAACTTTTAGGGCTGCAATTTTCCCGCTCCCAGGCTAACCTTGGCCACTTAATGACCATCCAGTGGTCAGTGGCCAGCACACAGACTGACTCACCCGCTCCCAGGCTTAACAAGCTGTTTGTCAACACCAGCACATTTTTTGGTCATTTACCGACCACATAATTGCGGGATATTATATGCACACAGTCCAGGGACCAGCCCTCGCCTCGACCTGGTATTATTACGTTTTCACGGCTCATAGGTTTTCCGCTTTGGGTGTCCGTCCGCCTTTCTGTCCGCTGTCCTTACCGCAGCGACGGTTGTAATAATTTGTGTGTTTCGGGACATGTGGAAAGTTTGTCCTTAAAACAAAGGCAAATGCGAGGACTCCCCATTTCGCCAGGGGGTTGAATGCAGGCGGGAATGTCTTTTGGTGCTGGCGGACGAGAATGAATCACTGCCTCTGCCTCGGTCCACCCGCGGGCGCCATCTGAACAATCCGGGCTAATTATTTAAATGAAGAATTACAAATTTAAATTATTTAAAACGATTGCAGTTCATTCTCATTTTCCCGCTCTCTATCTCTCTTCTCCCTCTGTCTTTTTACATGTGCAATGCATTATTTCTGCGATGTTTGTTATAAATATTATCTAACCACGACCAACGTCTGGCGACCCCAATGGCAACCCGATGGCAACCCGATGGCCAACTGCTGTTGCTGGCTGCAGTACCGCCGGATATCCTAGATTATCCTACGAGCACGGACATGGTCGTTCGCGAGGGCAGTAACGTGACGCTCAAATGCGCCGCTACCGGTTCGCCAGAGCCGACAATTACATGGCGACGTGAAAGTGGAGTGCCTATCGAGCTGGCCAGCGGAGAGGAGGGTAAGTCGAGGCTCACATTTTGGTATTGCGAGTTCGCGCACTGCAAACTATTTACATGCTCTATTCTGATGGTATTCTTTAACATGAACAAAATATATTTTTTAAAAATAAACATTAAAAACTTATTTTTGCATTTAAGAAAATTTTGGTTCGCAGTTTCCAGAAAATGGCCATGAAATTAAACTCAAACTCAAATACCATTTTAACCATTTTTGAAGCTCAAAAACAAATCATACTTATTTTCACGTAGTTGCTGGCAATTGAATACGAGATGAGGTACTCTAACTTTTTTCTAGTAGCCCCGCTAAAAAATCTTAAAATTGTTGTTAAAAATATCAAAAACTTGAAAACGAGTTATTTAAGTACAAAAACTTTAAAAATCATAATATTCAAATTTATCTTAGAATAAATTTAAATATTTATAGTACATATTCTTGATTAGTGGCATTATTCAGCTGTGTTCGATAAACGCTGTATACTGAAATTTCGAAAATACAATATAAAACCTAGCATCTGTGACAGACATTTTTAATGTGTCATTGACTAAATTGCGGCATCGCCAAGATCTAAAAACTTTGGTGATAGTTATTCTATCAGTCTTATAAATCTAAACCATATTATTTATAGTAATTAAACAAAAAATGTAACATAACATTTTTTAAAATTATTTTTTGTGATATTTATATGAAATATATATATACATATTATATTATATCAAATTATGTTAAATGTTGTACAAATCTTCCACTCACGTTTAAGTTATATTGAGCTGACAAACGGTTTTGGAAGATATCTGACCAATTCTAAATTAATTTCTATATGAAATTGAATGCATCGCAAAAGTTTAATCTTAAACAGCTCAACCTTTTCGACTGGTTTTCCATGCTGGTTAAAATTGTTGATAGCTTTTTTTTCATTTTCTCACAGTACAGTGAGGGCACCCCCTTTTATGCGCCCACCCTTCTGATTTGTAAGTACCTTTGCTGTTGTTGCCGACTCCACCGCCTGTATGAGGCTTGCCATCCAACATTTTGGAGTACTTTTACACAAAAAGGCAGCGGCAACTGAGTTGGCCATCAGCCGTTATAGCTACAGGCTGGCTCTGGGCCGAGTCCTGCCCAAGGCTATCGAGTGGTAGTCGTAGTGGTAGTGGCAGTGGTAGTGGTAGTGGCAGTGGCAGCAGTTCTGGGTGGTTGGGTGGTTGGGTGGATGGGCGGCAGTCCCAATTCGTGGCCATGGCACCTGTACCTGCAGACTGCAGTGGGGCCAGCATGCGAGAGCTTCGCCCAGTCCTGTTTGGCTGTTGATGATGATGACGTCTGACTGACAGAATTAGCAAATGGTTAGGGGCCGATTGTTGGTGGCGGCGAGCTGGCGGTTGAAACAGGCCAGATTTACTAATTGGCCTTGAAGTGTTCGTCAGATGAGAGGAGTTGCAATTTCGAGTTCTTAATTTGGAAAGTTAGCTAGCCTAAAACGAGTTTACGTATTAATATGCAAGTTCTTTGTCTAAAAAATATAAATGTTGGAAGGGTAACTGTTCTGTGGTAAGACCAACTGTCTTAATCTAAAAATATGTGTTGATAACTGCGTTTTTTAACCCACAGCAACATATGCTACACATACATGCTTCTCGTTAAACTACGAAGCTTGACAACAGAATTCGAGACTCAAAGGGAGATGCTAAAGAAATCACTAGGGTTTTGAAATAATTTATAAATGCGTCTCGAACTATGCAATAAAAAGTAGGAACGTCGAATTTGTAATCAATACATTGCACTACAGTGCCAACAACCGCATTCGTTGTCCAAAACCAAAAAACCAAATGCATTGGGGGATGTCAGCGAAATGATTATAAACCGATCAAATTATTTTCGGTTTTTTGTCGTGTATTTTTATACCCGTAAATCGTAGAATAAAAGGGTATATTGTTATTGTTGAAAATTATGTTACAAATAGAAGGAAGCGTTTCCTATAAAGTATATATTTTCTTGGTCAGGATCAATAGCAGAGTCGTTCCGTCATTTTGATACTTGTTAGACCTTAGCTATTTGTTTCTTTCTGTGTAGTTCGATCATAGCTATTAGTAGACACAAAACTTTTTAAATTCAAGCTATTATTTAAGAAGTTATTTAGTCCTCTGTATGTTGGTTGCAGATGTAGAGAGACAGCAACACATGGTACATTTATAAGGTAAAAGGCAAAGGTAAAATAATGTATAAATGCGCCTTAAAGTATGCAACAAAAAGTAGGAACGTCGCATTTTGTAACCATTCCATTGCACTACAGGGCCAACGACCACATTTGTTGGCCAAAACCAAATGCATTTGGGGATGGCAGCGATATGATTATATTTGATTAAATAAAGATAAACATTATTTTCGGTTTCGGACAGACGGACGGACAGACGGACATGGCTAGGTCGAACCACCTAGTGATGGTGATCAAGAACACATATACTTTAGAGGAGACATTTCTGTCCTTCACTGCGTTGCAAACTTTTGTTTTGAAATGATAATAACCTCTGCAAGGGTATACAAAATTCCACCAAAGTCTAAACACAGCACAAAGAGCCAAATAATAACTGAGCTTAAATCAAAGGTGATGCAGAAAAGATCCCCTGGAAACCCCAAAACGACAAACGTGAAACAGAAAAAAACCTCATACGGCTAAATGAGAGGATGCAAAAAATCAGCATAAAGAGAACAAAAAGCTGGCAAAATGACCTTTTCGCCGGAGCTTAAATGACTGCCACCCAACGCAGCCCCTTCTCTGCCAAACAAGTCCACTTACTGTCCGGCCACTGCAAGGCCCTTTTCCATTTCCCGATTTCACTCGTGTGTGCTTGTGTTTTCAAGTCAGAGGGCTTGACTAGATTGCAAGTCAGGGGGCGTTAAAAAGTTTGTCGGTGATGGAGTGCGCCCGGAGAGTGTATAATATGAAGCTTTACCATTAAAATCCTGCCAGCTTTAAATATTTATTTGTTTTTCAAGTCTGCAGCTTTGATTCAGATAATCCTTTAACCACATATCGGTCTTGTATCATTCATATGTTGTACCCAGATGCCAATAGCTATGCTTTTACGCCTATTATATGCAATAACAAAATTATTTAATTTACTTGAATGCGTTTTATAGGGTAGATCTTTTTTTTTAGTAAATTGATTATATTATGAATGATTTTTAAAAAGTAATTACATGGTGTTTCATTTAAAATCTAGATCTTACAGGACTTGGTCAAAGTTTTTTACTTATTTTTGATTTATCATAAGATTATTTTGATTTTTAAAATTCGAATATAAAGATTTTTAAATGAAAAAGAGTGTTTTCCATTTCGCTTACTTTTTCTCAATTGTTTTAAGCACCCTTTTGTTTTTTCGACCAAAGTTTGTTTCATTTGAAATTTGATTATTTCGGTTCGTGTTCGTTGCTGCTCTGAAATGAAATGAAATCGGCTGAACAGAAGTAAAGTTTTATGCCATGGCAGGGCTCCAACAAAATTACACGCTTTTCGTGGCTATTACGTTTAATGACCGCACTGTGAACCCTCGGAACCGCACCGCAAAAAAACAGGTGGAGAGTACGGCTAATAAGCGACTCGGTTGGGCTAGAATGGACCCTGGCTCAAAAGGCAAATCAATAAACGAAAAATCAGTGTATTATTATGTCCCCCAACTTTGCCCAACAACATCAAGCGCAAACTAGCCAGAACTTCCGGTTCCGGCGCACCCAAACAGGACCACACTCATCCGCATCGTCGTCTGTGGTGTTGCCGGCTTAAACCAGCCTCAATGCCGCTTATATAATGCCAGCCCCACTTCGACCATGATAACAGGATGTTTGCTCGGAACCCGAAAACGTCGAGTACTGCCATAAAAAGTCACCAGTATCTGGTACACAAAAATGTATTGTGCTGCACTCAACTTTTGTTGAATGCAAAGCACTGAAACTGCGCACATTCAGTTCCGAGCTTAGAAAAATGTTATTACTATTGTAATAATAGCAAAGTTTTGTTCATACTTTTGTTGTTAGGTGGTAATCATATCCGTTTATTTCCGTTTACCCATGCAGTTAAGGAAATGCAATCCGAATCGTTTGACATTAAGTTTTGAGACAAATAAATTACTTTAAGCTGTTAAAACTACTAAAGTGCATCAAAAACAAGGAAATAGTCAATAAACTCAGTTTACCAATTACCACTGGCTGTTATAATAAAATATCCAACTCACAAATGAGAAGACAAAAAATAAAACTATATCTGGAAAAGGTCTTCCATATAGCTTTTAAACTGAGATGTTAGTTCGCGTAAAAAAGGCTGGCAGATTTACTTGTCTGACCAAGAATTTATATACACTATTGAAGCTTAATTTTTGCTAAACTTATAATTTATTTTGCAATAAAATTGAAATCCCCACCACAACAATTTCTATTAAATTTTTAAATATAAATTATTGACAATTCTATGACTCCATAATAGTATACATCTAAATCAACTACCATTAACTTTGACTGTTAAATTATTTGAAACAAAAATCTGGGTAACACTGTATTGTGTATAGAGTATTGTAGAGTCTCTATAATACTGTATTGTGTATGATGTATTATGGAGTCTTTGATTAAACCGTATTAAACTTTTCCATCTCTTTTTCTTCAGATTTAACATAGTTTTATACCCCTCAAAAATAGCTTCCAGTCGACAAATAATTTTATAATTTCCAAATAAATAATATTTGCAGTCTTGAGCATTGAGGGCACTGATCTAATAATACCGAACGTAAGACGTCATCATATGGGCGCCTACTTGTGCATAGCTTCCAACGGAGTCCCGCCTTCGGTGAGCAAACGGATAACGCTTGTTGTGCATTGTAAGTACAGAGCAGTACACATGTAAACCTTTTTGAAAGCTTAAGTTTTTTTTAAATATTTTTAACAAGCCTTAATTTTTGTACTCCAATTTCAGTCCCACCGATGATCACCGTTCAGAACCAATTGATTGGAGCTGTAGAGGGAAAAGGAGTGACTTTGGAATGCGAATCGGAGGCATACCCCAAGTCGATCAACTACTGGACCAGGGAACGTGGAGAGATTGTGCCACCAGGTGATTAAAAGAGTCGTCTTGCACGGTTGGACTTTATAGTACATTTCCGGATACACCTCGGAAATCAGTTGGTTCAACCTACTGCTTTTTGCAAACACTATTTCTCGCCACGTAATATTGCTTATTGGTATTGAGTTGCGCAATTTTATAACCAAACATTCAGCGAATGCTTGGGGACATTTAAAAGGTCATAAACCGTGGCGAGCACATTAGCACATTAGCACTAAGCCCGAAGCCAAATCAGACCCCGACCAGTCCCTTGGAGGAAAGTTCGCGGTTTCCCGGGGGGCGAAAACATGCTGCCAGCTAACAAACTGATGACCGCTGAGTGCAAACTCCACGCGACAGACGCAGACACACCGAAAAAGTTGTTAATTAGCTGATTTAGTCGCGCACTAGCACGGATACACTCGCCAGACAGACAGGGCCACAGTCCTGCGGTTTCGCGGCTGTCGGTAAATGCGGCAGTGCGGTGGCTTGAAGAAGTGACTTGGATTGCTGGCCTCGCAGCCGTTGTCATAACTGGAAATCAAATTAATTTACAATTTTGTTTCTGGCGGATTTTAATTGACACCAGAAAAACCGAATCAGCCCGTGAAAAAGCAACCCCCTGATCAGGTCTCCGATGTGACATGAGTTCGTGCATAAATTTATGCCTGTCAGCAACATTGTTGAAACTTTGCCCGCCCGTACTTACGGTCGATGTGCGCGTGACATGCATTTAATTATTAAATAACGCAAAATTTCAATTAAATATTAATTAGTTTATTATTTTAATGAAATATTAACTGTGAAATCAAACCCCTCGCACCTTGCAGGCGGCAAATACTCGGCGAACGTCACGGAAATCGGTGGCTATCGCAATTCGATGCGGCTCCACATAAATCCCCTTACGCAGGCCGAATTTGGGGCTTATCGCTGCGTGGCGAAGAATTCCCTTGGCGACACGGATGGCACAATTAAGCTGTACAGTAAGTAATTGCAAGAACCCACTTAAGTTTTGCCACGGTAAGGAACGGATTCTTCTAACTAACAGGAATACCCCCGAATGCCGTAAACTATGTGGAGAACTTTGAGGCGCGACACAAAGGTGAGTGGCAAAAGTATACCCATTGTCCTTAGATATCTGCCAGCAGGACACTGAAGAAAAGGGAAATTTTAAGCGTGTCGAATACCCTTCTCTCAAATTGTGTGTTATTGATAGTTTTGGCGGTCGATGGTGTTCACTATCGATCCTATCGATAGAATCGAGTGTTGTTTAGCCCCAGAAAAGTTAAGACGATATCAATAAAAGCAAATTCAATTTCTATATTTATTCTACTGACGCCTATTAACAAATCAAGTTGTCACGAATTTATATTTACATGAACTTTAAAAATGGAATTGTCATATAACGCTTCGCCATGGTGTGCAAATACTACAAACATTCATTAAATACACCATAATAAAAAATTCTTTTTATAGAGCGATAATATCGATGGTGAGCCCAAACCATCGATGTTAGCTAAATTTGTTTTAGCATCGATAGTATCGATAGTGTCGATAGTGCCATCGATTATTTTACCAACCCTACTGTGTGTACAATCTGGGCTACCCAACACCTAATAGGTAGAAAAACGGGAGAAAGCGCGAGAAAAGAAAAAATTTAATAGCCACTTGGCATAAATTTAAGATGAGCTGGAAATTTTCATCTTGGCCCGGCTGGCGTGGCAGGAATCATGGGAAATACAAGGCTGGGCGAAAAAGTAGGAGGCGAGAAAAAAACGCATAAATAATTCATATGCCATGCAAATCCGTTTCAAATCGTCAACGCCACGGATCAGGTGGCTGCTGGCAGACGAGTAGAGGGGTGGGGATTGGGTGGCTGACACTGAGGCCGAATCTCTCGCTGAGGTCAGAGCTAAACTTTGGGAGGGGGACTGAAAGGCAACAAACAGTGACAAGTCTATTATGAATATGCATGGTAAATACGCTTCCTTTCGGCAGTAAATTAAAGATACTCAGCTTTTGTGGCGCCGCCTTAGTAAAACTTAGCCGTGATTCAATAATTTCTCCCTGCACAGGCAAGAAGCGGACGAAAGGCTCGGAGTCGCATCATCCGGCCAGGGCCCAGGAGCACAGCGGCGAGGACATGGAAAATCCGGGAAAAAGAAAAGGTAAGTGAGCAGGAGCAGAGGAAAAGTAAAAGGAGCGAGTGCGGCGAGTGCGGCATGCCGATTAGGGTTATGGGCCATATTTCAAGCATTTGCCCTGCGGTTTGGGTCCAGCTTAACAGGCCACTCGAGACAGGGCGACTGCCATAAAAAGTGGTCCCAGCCCCGACCCCCGTCAGTGTTTAACAGATTTTCACACTAATTTGCAAGGCAGAAACCCGAAACCCCCGAAAGGTGGGGAATAAGGGATCGACCGAGGGCTGAGCAAAGAGCGAAGTCGTAGCACACTTTTTTGGGCCAGGTGGCAGGTGGAAGTTTCTCTTCACCCGCGGTCCTGGGGAATAATTGTATATCAATAAACACGCCCGGCTTGGCATTGTGGCAATTTAATGATATGTAAATACTTGGCCACAATCAAATAAATTCTTTTCTGGCCGTTGGCGGCCGAAAGTTGAAATCCTTGTGCCTTCCTTTTTTTATTGACTCAATGGATGGCAGAAGTTATTTTCTCTAACTGTATAGTTGAGTCCCATACTTCTCGGTCACTTTATATAATTTTTCAAACATAAAATATAAATATTAAATTCTTAAGTAAATAAATCCATTTTGTGGAACAAATTTTTGTTCTTTTGGATTTGTTTGCAGCCAAGATACATTTCCTTTTCAGCATAGCTGGAGGAAACATACTTTGAATGATTTTTGCTTTGATCAAAGTTTAGTTGCATGCAAACTGATTACAATACATACAGCTTCGGTCACAATAATATTAGAGGGACTATGTAAGGTGTTCAAAAAGAAAGCTTTAACCCTAGGACAAACTTTCTTTTAGTTTATTAATATGCTTACCTACCAACAAATAAAATGATGTTTAAAATCATTTAAAACACTGTTTATAATTCCTTAAAATAAACTTTTCATTTTAAAACTCCTTTTTATCTGCATTAAATGAAAAATTTGAACACAGTTTATCAATCTTTTCTAAAAATCTCTTAAAATGTTAGACCTATGATTAATGTGGATTTTTAGATTTGCCCCAGTCAGTTTTTCTTAAGCTAAAAAAAAGACTATTATTTTGAGTCGGTTGGTTGTTCTAAGGGTAAAAGAATATTCGTTTTTTGGTCCGTCCTCACCCGTCAGTAGACATAACACGAATCGCAGCAATCGATGAAAAATAACTGGTATGCTGGACTATAATCCACCGCAAGGGCAAGCTACCACTCCGAATAAAACCAGAACCTCCGACCAGGCTAGCTAATCACTTCACTCAAATGCCTTATCCAATTTCCGCTGCTGCCCGGCCACCCCATTAACATACGAGTGTCTCCCCATTCGCAGCCGATTTGAGCCTGAGTGCGGAGAGCATCGACAGCATTTACGGATCCTCTGCAGCTCGAACTTGGCGGCAGGACCTCGGCGGACTGCTGCTCCTGGCAGTGGCAGTGGCATTGGCAATGGCCCTGGCTCCGATGCGGGAAACTCAGATGACACTGCCGCCACAAGCACTGACGCATGTTTGACACAGACGCCGAGTTGACATGGACATGGAGATGCAGTCAGCGCCAAATCTGAACTTGCGGCTGGAGCTGGAGCTGGAGCAATGTCTGCAGTCTGCGACTGTGGCAGTGGCAGTGCAATGATGATTGAGTTTGTCAATGCCAAACGCTGCTCGGTGCTGATTTATGGCTCGTTGCGGCTGCTCTAGTTAAAGTTTGTCGACGCCGAATTACATATATCACATCCATGACGCGGCGGGCGGTCCGCGTCTGTAGCCAGTAAGTAAACTAGGCTTCCTAATCCAAAATCGCGCTGTTGTCAGGCTGTTGGATTTTAGTTAAGGTTCAAGCTTAGCCTTCGGTGCAACCTTTGTAAAATATCGCAGATTGCAAATCAATTACGGCACGTGTATATAGACGTATGGCAAGGTTTTTGTAAAGAGTTGGAGTTGGCAAGGGGCTATGTATTATAAATATTGTAAGAACCAGATGTGGTAATAGTCTGAATGGGCAATATTAATTTACCTTGAAATACAAATTTAAAAAATTTAGTTCCAACACAGTTAAGAGAAGTCTTCGGTAAAGAAATATTTATCCACAAGGAGTTTCAATAAATATACGAGTAACTACTATCATATCCGATATACCTAGCTATATCACAAACTGCAATGAGAAATAAATATCCGCCAAAAGCTTAAAAGCTTAAATGTAAAAACCAAAATTATTCATTAATAAGCTCAGCAGCTGGCTGTGTTCCCAAAAACTTTAACCAACAAAAAGGCTTCATTTATTGTTCTTTACCTTGCTGCAGTGCTCCCAAAATATTATAATGTTTAACTATATTAACCACGTTTCAAAAAATACATATCATTTATTCAACACTCTAAAATTAGAAAAAATGCAATACCTCTTTTTTCATTTATGTTGACAATCAGATTTCAGTTATTTAAAGGTAATATACGGAATACAAGTCATGCGGTAAATTTAACGGGCAAATTAATCACACTATTTAGTGCGGATGCAGATACATTTAATATGTATTGAGCGAACATTTCCAGACGAAAGTTAATTGTTAAAGAAGCAAATTATATCAGTTGTGTTTATATCGCTATTATGTACACACCCATACATTTATCGCATACCAGTATAAATTAATATTTTTAAGCATCACATGTACATGACAGTGTAAGCAAATTGCCGAAAAGACAGGAATATTTATAAAATAAATAAAAGTTTAACATTAATGTGTTAAGTAAAAACATAACTTTATTTGTGTGGGGATGTAAATCCGATGTTGTTTGAAAGATGCTTCTGGTAAGTATGAATATAATGATTTTTAATAATTAGAAGGTTGCCTGCCTAGTTTAAGTGACAGTTTGTTGATTTAATTTTGATTTGGCTTGTATCGATATGGCTTTGTAAGTTGTCCAACCTATTAAAAGGTTTTAAAAAGACAGGCAGTTAGGTGGAGTCACGAAGCAATGTATTTGAAACCGGGGAAGCAAGTTGCGCCACGTCCTGGAAAAATTTAAATATAATACATATTTCAAAGATATTTATATATTAGAAAACCTTTCCAATATTTAAAATTCATTTGGAGAATTTAAGGAAAATAATCTAGATTTTAGAAAACATTTATTTATTATGGTATGGTTTTTTAGAGAATTTTGTGTTACAGTAGGTTTTATATTTATAAATAAATATTTTCTTGACACACTTGTACTAATGTTTTGATTTTTTACCTTGTATTTGAATACATAAACCGAACTAAAAAACTCAAGGTTATAATTTTTTTAAATAACTTTCATCACACTAGCACTCAGATAGGACTAGCTAGTTTCGTTTGCACGTCACCTCAAACTCATCAGCTACCGTGGGGTAAAAATTGTTCCTTGTATTTGGGTCTATTTTTAGTTTAATTTTGGGTATGTTGCGCGTTTTCTTCCCGTGATCAATCGTTTTTGTCACGTTGATGGTTGATTAACAAAGCTAAACTATGTGATTTTTAAAGGTATTTCGTTCGTCAACGAGTACTTGGAAGAGCATAAATTACAAATATATGTACATCTAACTGTGCACTAAAAAACCAAATTAAAAGCGGCTACAAATTTGAAATAAAACAAAAAATCGCTCTCATTAAGAAATCTTTAAGTGCTGGCTAGCACGCAAAACCAAACCATCACAGCAAAGCCAAAATTAGAAAATACAACTCGGAAAACTCTTCAAAAAGCTCAGGCTAATAAAAGCCTTTCCAGTCGGTGTGTGTGTGGGCATAAGGCCCTGTCGGTGTGTGTGCGTGGGTATTACGGCTAGTTTTTATTACATTTGTTTCCAGGAATTTTCAGACATGCCAAAACAGGTGCAACCGCAGCACCATTCGGCTTACGTGAGTTACTTGTTTGCTTCTTTTTAGTGCATTTTCATGGATTTTTCTCTCGCATGGTTTTTCCTGCCTGAGTGGCGGAGTGCCATGACCCATGGGTATAGCTGACAGACATTTTTCATGTAATCCATATAAATCTCAAGGTTAAAGAGTTGTAAATATGCATTTAAATCACCGAAGATTGGGTAACGGTAACCAAAGCCATTTCCCGAATGACCTAAATGTTTTCGATTTAATAATGTCAAAATGTTTGCGATCTGGTGGCGGTGCACGTTGGTTGATGGTAAAAAACTAAAATCTATTTGTTTTGCATGGCAGCTATTTAAAGTTAACAGGAGGTTCGAAATGTGAAAGGTATACAAATGTTTAAAAGGTTTCTGGATTCCAAATTTAGTAAATATATTTCTCAGAAGGTAATGCTATTCATTTAAAAAGTTTAAAAGATAATAAACAAGAAACAAAACAAGCATCGCCTTCCGAAGTTTATATACCCTTGACGGTATTGCAAAAATTAAACTTATATATTCGATGGTTCCTGTTGCAGATGTATGACATCGTTTGCTGATTTTAATAAAATTAAAAGCGAAATTCTGTAATATTAAACCATCACCATGTTCAAAAGAACTAAATTAAAAGTAAAAATTTTTTTAGTTTATTGTTTTGAATATTCCGTTTGCTCCCACGGGAGCTATAAGGTAAGTCGACCGATTTCGATCAAATTTAAAACACAAATTTAAAATAATAAACCATCACGAAATATTGAAGAACTTACAAAAAATATGAACACAGCATACGGATGTGAACAACATAGGAATGGTTTAATAATTTAGAATTACGCTTTTAATGTTATTGAAATCGGAAAACGATATTATATAGCTGCCATAGGAATGATCGAATAATTGAGGTGAGGTTATCATCAAAGCCACAATGGGTTTCAATAGATACTCATATAAATCAAAATTTTAATGTTTTAAAGATGTTTACGTGTTGCATTAGCTGCAAGGGTATATGAGCTTCGGCTTGCCGAAGTATGCTTTCTGTCTTGTTTACTTTTATTTTTCACCAACGGAAAAACCAAAATCTGTCAAAGTAAATGGTACTTTAATCCAAGCGAAAAACACATCTTGTTTTGACCGTCGCCTGGATTTTGGTTATGACTTTCAAGTCAAACTATATAGCCTCAAAAATGTTTAACTGTTTAAGCTACAATAAATATTTATTTAAAGATATATATTACAGATAAAATAAATGTTGTTGCAATTTTAGAAGATTATTTTACCAAAAGCAAATAAAATTTGTATCGTAATTCCAATTTTTACTCAGTGTTCATTTCGTATTATCACTTTCTCAACGCATTACTTAATTTTGGTTTGCTGGAGGTGAAATTCAATTAACAGTAAGCAATTACATAGGTTTAGATACGCTACCTGGAGCAATCTCATATATTAGCATAATTACAAGTGTTTGCGCAGAGCCCAAGAAAAATTCAAGCACTGGCGCCAGTTGTCGGCAGCAAATGGCATCTGGCAGACCTGAGTACAATTAACATTACTTAAATACACATTAAGGTTAAAGACGCGCAATTTCTTCATGTTTTGCGGCTATTTTTTCAGCGTTGAGTTGTTTATCAACGGAGGGTTCCGAAAATTGCGTGACGCACAAAAAGAAAGCGTTTTGAGTACAAAGCGAAGGAAGGGAACAAACACAAAGTAAGGGACAAGGGGATCCACTGGTGAACAGGAAGGGCAATGAAAATAAACACAGTAATTAAGTTAATGAGCATTTTCAGATTTATTATTAATTCTTTCTTTTGTTCTCTCTGAATTGTGGTGCAAAATCATTTCGAAAAATTTTCTGTGGTTATTTATTATAACTATTGGCAAGCTTTCGCTTTCGTCCTAGTTTTTTTGTTGCCTTTAATTTGCATTTAAAATGCTTTGGGCCCGGAAAAATGCGCTAATCCACATTCTGGATTTTGTTTGGCTATAATTGTTTTATTTTGTTTGCGGCTGTGTGCGTGCCCTTAATTGTTATTTAAATGCTTTGCAAATAATTTTAAATATCTGCAGGCAAATAAAAAGTAATCGTTTTCTGAATGCTCTTGTCACAACTGGACCGCTAATTTATAGGCAGTCGTAAAAATCTCTGCCGAAGGGAACATTTTATCATTATGCCATTAGTGATTACGTCATCCCTATATGAGAAGGACCCCGCTAACAAGTTGTCCTTTAATTTTACGATTTCGCTTATAGCTTCGCAAAGAAAGAAAACCAAAACAAAACTTTTGAGAAAGAATGGCAACATTTTGTGACCTGACAAAGTTGCCAACACATGAGTAACCCCATACAATTAAATATTTAAAACTTAGCTGTATATGTAAACCTTTAGCAACTATGAATACATTATATTGCTATCACGGCCCACAATAAATGATAAAACAATTTTAGCTAATAGAAATACTTGTTTTACTTGACCAGCCATAAAAGCCTGCAATTTATTTATCAATTTCCATACAATTAGCCAAACAAGTCCCATTTAAGGCGCATATTCCAGCCCAAGACATTTTCGGTTGAAACCATTATCAGTGCCCCACAATATAATGATAGTGCTAATGACGAGAGGCCCGAAAGCGATTAAGCGGGCTCACAAAACGTGTAAACAAATTGCCAGCTAACTAAAGGACTAATCACCTGAAAGACCCTCCCTCCACACACACACACACCCACAACTAGCACCCACAAAAGCTCCCTGGGACCCTGTCAGATAACCCACATAATCATGTCTGACTCGCTCCCAGCGTGTAAACAAAACTACAATTAATCAAAGATTTTTACCTAACAGGACTATATTACACGAGGCTTTGGTTAATTGCATAAATAAAACTCTGTTGGCCGGGGTTGGCAGAAAAAAAGCTTAATTAAGCCGCTCCACCACCTGCCGACTCCCCATGGACCTGGCAAATAAATAATAAAAACACAAATTGACACAAACGCACACAAGAATGGGGAGATGGGTGATGAAGCAACCAGGGCAATGGCTCACAAAATATAAGGACAAAATGGGCCACACGGAAGTGCAGTGTCCTCACACAGGTTCTGGGCCAAGG